CCCCCGCCCACGTCCCCACCCCCCACCCCCAACTCTGAGATGATGGTGGATACTTGAATATTCACTTCTGAGCTTACATAGATGATGAAATTGCTGGCATTGGATACTCCATGGAGTCTCTCATGGTCAAAAGGACATTACTGTCCTTTCGCACACAGGCTTCCTCAAAGTCCTGCTGAGAAGATATTCAATGGAATTTCGCTCAAAATATGCAAACAGCTTACGACTGGTTTCATCGTGTTTGGGGATCATCCAGCGGGTGCAGTCCATCGTAGCTGAAACAAAAAATTCTTGGCCACCAGCGACTCTACCGGGCCTCTAGCTCCAGCAGTTTCATCACACGGAATCTCGGTGTCTACCGATGATAATGGGATCTACAGCCTCTCGTTTTGTCAGTAGCCCTCCATCAGCCTGTTCTTCGGGGAAGGCGTCGAAATTTGTGAAACTTAGAGGCAAACGGTAGTGGCATTATATCTCCATCATAATTCTGCTATCTCGGCAGTAACCTAGCCACAGGCCAGGCGTTCGTCACGAAGCTGGATTCACGAATATCGGAGGCTAACACCGCAGTTGAAGGCCCTCAGAAACGGAGTTGGAATAACCGCCATCTCTGAGTTGATACAAATACACCGCAGTCTTCTTAACAGTGAACCGAATGTCAGATCCCTCAGCCGACTTAATAATCTGTAGTCTCTGTGGAAATTTGTGTGTATTCCTTTGTCATGCGTAATGCCTAATACTCAAAATCTAAAAAGATAAGAACAACCGGGATCAAAGGCATTCTGATGCCCCAGACTCGCTAGATGAACAGCGGAAGAGTAGTCTACAGAGAGAGTAAAGATGCAGGAACAGTTACTGAAACGCAACAAGTCCGTACTGTTATCATGGCATTGTGGCCGACAAAACGTCTAGAATTTTTGCGGGTCAACTGGATTCCACCAATTCGGTCCGTGATTTTATCACGAGAATGAGTTGAGCTTACTGTGTAACCAATTCGCTTTACTTTCCGGATGAACAATCAACACGTGATTGGCTAAGGATAGTCCGTTAGAGCGACGTTCAACATCTGTGCTCATCGAAAGGACAAAAGTCACTCCAGCATCAACCAGATTACGACGACAGGGGATGCCAAGCTCAAAGGTCACATGGGCATCGGCGAATGGGGACACGGGACAACGGAGCAACCAATGGAATCACCCGACCGAACAACCAATCGCGATCAAAGGTCGTCTCCTGCTAGCAGCACGTATATTAACACACGCGCAACACTACTCAACGCACAACTACTAACCCCCCGCTACGCGTTACTACGCTCCCCAATAACGTACTGATGATGTCACCTCGATTGGTGATGAAACGTTTGCAATCAAATTGCCCAGCTCAGCAAACAAGCCAACGATCACCAGCTCATCGTATGTTGCAGCCTAGCTTGAACGCGGTCATTCTGTAAATCCGCCAAGATATTTATTTTGACGTTCAGCTGATTGTAATCCGTATTTTTGGACCCTTCCGCCTACCGTGACAGCCCTCAGCTGAATCGTCCGCATTCCACATAGACTTTTAACTAAGCAACCTTCATTCTGACTTTTATGGAGGACGTTCAGCTGATTGTAATCCGTATTTTTGAACCCCTTCGCCTACCGTGACAGCCCTCAGCTGCCTTTTAACTAAGCAACTTTCATTCTGACTCTTATGGGTCTTTTGTAATGCACTGCACACCACCATTTATCTGGCGTCACAATGAACTGGAATTCCATCCTTCGGGAACAAGAAAACTTCGTTTTAGCGAAATACACTCATTTGCAAACTAATTTGGTTCTTCGAGAGACCCACCTGGAACCCAGCTGAATCCCTCGTTTGTGAATGTGCAGCACTTCGTTTTGTTTCTAATTTCGAGATAGTTGGTCCTTTCGATATGCTTTCAAGTACATATGATGCAAACAGATGGGCGGAACTCGAACTAGCGACCTCCCACCACCAGACCAGTGCGCCACAAACTGTCCTCTCTAGTGGAGCAGGCGAATGTGACACCAATTTTACGTCACATTTATTCCTCCTAATTATCTGGCCTTCTCAGACAGCTTCCAACTTATGGCGAAGCTTGGCAGTAATTTTTTCGATAGCACAACAGCCCGTCGAATGACCAGTTACTATCAGGGACCTCCAAAATGCTGTTGAGTCCCAACCGAACAACGTGGATGACTCAGCGTCGGGCTAATGAATTCGCCAGATCAAACGGATGACACTGTGGGGACAACAGCTTGTTTACCCGTCGGCCGGTAGTAACCATATTTAGGAAAGGGGGTAGTGTTTCCAGTATGCTTCTAACGGGATTGTTATCTCTGCTCCATCGCTAGTTGGCTCACACATGGCGTAGTGGGTGGTTGTATTTTTTTATGCGAGTTGTTTGGCCAGTCGTTTGGGCCTGGCAATTTGGAGCAGTCACAAGTGGGCCATGTTTCTTCTTTCTTCAGCGGAAGAGCGAGAAAGGGTTATTAGTTAGCTTTTCTAACGAAGGCAGCGAGTGACGCGGCCAGGTTTTCCACCCGAAACACCGGCACAGCAACAGTACCTCGGTTAAATTGTTTACCGTGTTTCGCGCAAATACTATTTTACCATTTGTGTGGATTCAAAATGTACTACTGGATGAACGCAAAACTGTGAAAGTTCTCAGCATGAACTCAAGCGTGTGGGAGATCCGTGAAAGGAACCAGTCGAACAGTCGAACCAGCTCGAGGAGCAAGTCAAACGTGTGGCAAGCGTGATTGAAGGATGAGCGGCGCTATATCCTGTCCAAGTGCGAGTTAATCACACTGCTGACCGGCCGCTCGTGACCGAACGGTTGAGTGTCAAACTACCAGCCAGGAGGTCACGGGTTCGAGACTCTGCGGAATTTCGTGAGATGCGCACTGCTGATGATTCCCAATAGGGATGAAACAGCTGTACAGTGCTTCTCGGCTCTTCAGCACAGATTAGCCTCACTTAAAGGACGAAATCTCCACAGAAAAGAAACATAATCAATTTACGCTGGGAATAATCTCACAGGGATTGTATGGTTGTGCTAGTAGGGGACACGTAACACACACGACTCTCGAATATCGTAGCGACTGAAACATGAGGCGGTCTAGTACAGCACATTCAGCTGCCTGGAAACATCGCAAACGAGAGATTCAGCTGGGTCCCAGGTGAGTCTCTCGAAAAACCAAACTGGTTTGCAAATGAGTGTATTTCGCTAATTTCGTGCAATTTGGTTTCAAGTAGAACATAAGGTTTGCCGGAAACTCGGGTACTGCGCCTACCTGATGAGCGCCAAGAAGAGCGAAACCGGTCGTGGGCTGCCGTCGAATTTTCAGCAACCTTATGAGTAGTGCATTACGAATACACACAACTCCTATTTTGGAAAGATTTTGCAGCCTTTTTTCATTTCAGCTTCTGTGACAAGTCGTCCGTTCTTTACCTGCTACATTTTCGCTTTTCTGAAACTGCAGAACTGCCTTCACTGTTTTATAAGGACGTGTCTTTTTCTTGCGGAAAGTTGTCTGTTTAGAGCTTTCTTCCCTTCTCTGTGCTAACAGCCACGCTCCTCGGGGGAAGCAAAGGGGCTGAAGTACTGTCAGGTTGTCCAAGCCTAGACGGGAGCAGTCGACATGTTTGGGGCTGGACTCGAATCACGGACTAGGTAAGTTCTCGCTTGAACCGGTGAGCTCTTTTGAATTCAAAAGAGAGTTTTTCAAGTTGTGTAATGCAACATCCACGAGTGAGTAGTACGGACAAACGTGCCATTTTCATTTATCGTGATAAAGCCCATATATTCTGCTACAGAGTTGAC